TCATTGCCTGTAAATATCTAATTGCAAACATGTCCATATGTTGCCCAAGAAGAGTTACCTTGATCCACAACCATTCCTCTTTAGTTACATGAGGGTTTTCACGGATATGTACAAATGGAAGCATAGAGGGTAAGTTGTCTGGCACAACAACACGTATAGCATTTAGTGATGAGTGTAGTTTTAAGTAGCATAGATAAAGCCCCCTAAATATCATAATGGAGAGGTATATACTGATGAATTCGACGGTTGGTATGATGCCCGAGCGGTGGGGACAACATTTGCGCGGTAGCAAATGACATAACTTGATTGCCGGCGAGTTGCTGGCGACTTGCGCATATTGTCATTTTTTACGCGCAAATGTTGTCGGCAATTGCAAGAACAAGATTGCAAATCGTGATAGACAGTATGTTAACGAAATTTTTGCAGATTAGCTTAACCAAAACAAGATTTGTTTGAAATACACTTTTAATTCCTATTCGTTCCCTGTGATCTCAAAAGACAAGCTCAACTGATGTCGCAAAATGAGCTTGAGTAAATTCATTTTTTTCCCATGAGCTAGCAATTTTCCAGAAAAGATCAAACCAACTTTTTCAAAGTTATTTGGCTGCTTTCGTAGAAATTCATTATATTCATGCTTTCGGTAATTAGAGTGCTAATGAGTGGAGAATCGCTTTTCTTCTTCAACAATTTGTCAAAGCTTAGCCATCGTAGAGTCATAGTCTGTACCAGCTGAAAAAGGAACGAATAATCGTTGATGAGGAAATTTAGGACAAACATACCCGATCTCTTTCTTTGCTGCCAACAAATCTGACAGTAATTAAGAAAACACAGTCTCCACATATGACAGGAGCATGATGTAGGAATCCGATATCATCTAATCCTAGAGCTGTGTGCATAGTGGTGACTGCATCCATTAGCTTTTTCCGAAAATGAAAAAAGTGAAAGATAATCTAATCAAAATCAGTAGTCCACAATCCAAGCGGTTAGATAAATTTAGCACCAAATTTTTTGAAAAAAAGACTGAAAAAGGAGTTCAGTTATTTCTCATAATTACTAGAATTTTTATCCATGACAAAAAAATATGAATAAACAAGTCAATCACCATTTCAAGAAGTATGACTGAAAAATAAGTCATAGAAAATACTTAAAACTACTACTACTAACAACTACTTAAATGTCAAGTCTTGATGGACTTTAGCATTTTTTTTGCAAAAGAGTCTAGAATAAGTGTTCGATTATTTCCTTCACTAAAATAGATTAACTCCTTTGAAAAATCGTACAAAATAAATTGTATATTCTCTTCAAATTTGCTGAACCGCAAATTTTTCTAAAACTGTAGAAGTGAAATTGATTCCGAATATGTTGTCTAACCTAATTAGCTAGCATAGTCTTACCTCAGACCCTTATCGATGTTTAAATCACCCGGAACAGATTCCGATAATGCACCAACTTCTTCCCAGCAAAGCGACATTTTCATTAGCCATAGGAAATCCTCATTTGCAATTGTAGTGACACTGTTATCAACCTGAAATAGTTTATTAA